CAAAGTAGTCCTGAGGGGGGCCTGCTCTGCCTGGGGCCAGGCTTGCAGGAGGCAGGACAGAGGCTCTGGGCCGGAGAGACGCCCAACCAGGCAGCTGTGTGCACTTCTCTGGCCTCTCTGCCAGGGCATGCACCCAAAGGACCTCCGAGCAGCCAGGAAAAGCCATGAGTTGCAACCAAAATTCGGCTGAGGATGGAACTCAGAGTGAAACTGCAATCTGCCTGCCCCCAGCCCTGACCCTGACCCTGACCTTGACCCCAATGCAAGGCTGGAGAAGGGCACAGTGCCAGGCTCTGCTGTGCCTACCCACCGTGGTCCAGCTGGGTCCTGCCCGGAGTGGCAGCGGGGCGCACCTCGCCGGCCCTGCTGGAGCTGCTGTGGCGCGAGGCACGGGCGCCCTTTCAAAGCACATACTCACTGAATGTTTACAGACTGGCTGTCCAGGCAGGGCTCTCAACTGCACATGTTTTTGTTTTTTTTTAATACTTTCTTTTGTTTTGATTTTTTAAATATTTTTTACAAAAAAAAAGATTTTATACAAGCAATATACAAATGGATTTCTATAATCACTCGATGTGATACAATATAAATATGCTATGGTTTGTTTGTTACGAACAGATATTCAGCAGTTATGGCCGTTGCGTGTAACTCCTAAGTACTGTAGTCTCTGGGTTTTGGGGGTGGTGGGGGTGGGGGTGCATTTCCATCCTGGTGAATACAGTACTCAGTCCTGTATCGCTCAGTAAACATTAGTCTTACTTAAAAAAAAAAAAAAAAAAAAAGAAATCGGGCTCTCTCCTCTCTGGTTTTGGGGTACATCACCTGAGAACCGCCACTGCCAAGTCACTGCAGCTCTTGCATTGAGTGTTTACCCCCTGGTGGTCAGTGCACATCATATGACCAGTTGGAGAGTCAGAAACTTAACATATTAGCCATATATATATAGTGATGTATTTTTAAGAAATACTGATCTGAGGGAGAATCCAAGGTGGCAGCATAGATAAACCCCTAACTGCAGCCTCACACAACAATTTCAATAAAATACAACTAAAATACAAAATGGACATTACCCAGAACTACAGGAAAGTCTACTGACTGGAAATTCTACGAGAAGAAAAGAGAAAACCAGAAGGAAAATCAGAGGAGCTGTAAAAGCCTAAGGTACTGAGACACGTTGCGAGCGCGCAGAGAACAGAGCCGGAGAGGAGACGGAGACTGAGTGCCTAGCTGGCATTCCCTAGCAGGAAGGATATAAAAGCTCCGGACTGTGCTGAGCCCCAGTTCTGAATGCACTGAACCCCAGTTCTAGGCCAGACCCTGAGGACCCAGGCTCATACAGAGGGAGCCTGGGCTGTAAGGCAGAAACCCAGGGGAGCAGCAAAAGGAAGTCTCGGAGGCGTGCACATTTCGCGCAGAGAACGGACATTTTACTGTGCCGCTGGATTGTCCTAGCGGGAAGGAGATAAAAGCTCCAGATTGCTCTGAACCCCACTTCCAACCCCACTTCCAACTGAACTGAACCCCAGTTCCGGGCTCATTGGGAGAGAGCCTAGATTGTTTGATAGCGGGCAAAACTCAAGGGCACCTTTCTCTCAGAGGTGCTTGCAGTGAGTACCATAGGACACTGAGGAACAACACTGAGGTACATGCCCTTGACCGGAATGGAGACTCAGGAGCCTTGCCTAAAGGAACACCTTGATCTTGAATCTTTATTGTGTTGTTTTGTACAGGGTATTCACTGTACTCATTTGTTGTGATTATAAAACAATTAGAGGCCCGATGAGTGAAATTTGTGCATGGGAAGGAGGTGTTCCTCAGTCTGGCCTGCACCCTCTCTAATCTGGGACCCCAACTGCCAGTTTAGGCCCAATCCCTGTGGGCCTAAACCCTCTCACAATCCTAATTGCTGACTCCTAACCACTCGCCTGCCTGCCTGCCTGATTGCCCCTAACCACTCCCCTGAAAGACTGATTGACACCTAACTGTTCCCCTGCCAGCCTGATCACCCCCAACTGCCCTCCTCTGCCAGCCAAACTGCCCTCCCCTACTGGCCTAATTGCCCCCAACTGCCCTCCCCTGCTGGCCCGATCGCCCACAACTGCCCTCCCCTGCCAGCCATCTTGTGGTAGCCATCTTGTAGTGACCATCTTGTGATGACATCATGGTAGCCATCTTGTGACATCACACAAAAGCATTGCGCAACGCCACCTCGGCTTTTATTATATAGGATAAGCAAAGAAGCTTACATTTGTATTTATTTTCTATTCCATACCTCTCTGCCCCATATTTTTTTCTCCTCAAAATCCATTACTTTCCCAAAATAACATTTGTTGGAGAAAAAAAAGAAAAAGAATTCCTTTGTAACTACTTATATTCCTCATAGCCATATCACTCCAAAATCAGCCATTATTTCCTATATCCACCAGCTGCAAAAATGTGTCACAAATTAGATACTTTAAACATGACATCAGTATCTCTTTTACTCCACTAGAGGCTTGATGCATGAAAATTCATGCACTGGAGGGGGGTCCCTCAGCCCAGCCTGCTCCCTTCACAGTCCAGGAGCCCTCAGGGGCGGGAGGCGACCTGGCAATCAGGGGAAGGCAAGCCTTGGCTGGCCCTGGATGGCTGTGCAGCCACCATCCGAGGCTTGCCTGCACGTCAGGCTGGCCCTGGGCAGCTGGGGGGCTAAGGGAACTGGGGGATTCCAGAGGTAGGCATGTGCCGCATGCTTGCCACCTTGGCAAGGCTGAGGGGACTGGGCACCACCATCTTTGAGAGTGTGAGAGTCAATTAGCATATTCCCTCCTTATTGGCTATTGGCACCGCCATCTTTGTGAGGGCGTGATGGTCAATTCGGATATCCCCTCTTTATTAGATAGGATTATTAGATAGGATAATCAGATATACTAGTACATACATTCCTGGCTCTTTTAGCACAAAATATATATAAAATCTTTCAGACAAATAAAGCAAGTGAAAATATAATGTGACTAAACAGTGTTAGAAGGACTCCTCTGGAATCCTCTTAGAGTCAAGCCCCACCTAGAACCCAGGCAATCTTCAGAAAATTACCTTATCTCCCTGTGCCTCAGTTTACCTCTACAGAACAGAGGATAGACTCATTATGAAGATTAAGCAAATAGGACCCAGTTTTCACTGTGCCTGGTGACATCAAAGACTCAATAAAAGCAGCTGCCACCATTCTCTCTTCATTTCTGCCCCCTTTCCAGACATGACCCCAGTCCTCCCAATCTTTCTGTGTTCATCTATGCTGCACAGGACAGTTAGGTCAGTGTAGCTAAGGTCTATTTACATTCTGTCTCCTAGAGACACAGTACAAGTACTGACTGCCCTTTGTCTACACTCAAAACTCCCTTCTTTACACAATCCTCAAATCCCTGACCAAATCTAACTTGATGCAGTAGCAAAATTAGTTTACTAGGAAAACTGCTGGCATTTTCCACTGTTGGGTAGGGAACTGCAGAGTGAGGCTAGGACAGACTCCGACTGTGCCAAAGGCAGTATGTACACAGAGATGAGGGTGCTGTCGAAAGAGACAGAAAAGCCACAGGAGGGTGCACTGTACCTGGAACAACTTGAGTGTCAAAATTATGACAACAAATACTTTATAACCATCAAAAAGAAAAAAGTCCTTGAGTCTATACTAATCCTCAACTACACTAATGAAGAGTGGCAGCTAAATGAGTGTAGAAGAATGGCAGAATTAGCAGGATCACCCTTTACAACACTCAGTGTAATAACAGATTAAGGCAAGGATTACTGATGATGTCAGATCTTCTACAAGACAGGCTTGGTTTCTTCACACAAAAATCAATGTCATAAAAAATAACAATGAAATGGGTGGAGAATTGTCTTAAATTAAAGAAGACCAAAGAATTTTCAACAAGTCTGTAATATATATGTCTTAATATTAGTTTTATAATTTAAACTACTAAAAAAACAAATCAGTAGTACAATTTAAAAAAAAAATTTTAAAAAGAGATTTAAGGAGGGAGTTGAGGGAGAGATGCCAAATTGTTTTCCAATCTCAAACTCCTTTAAAAATTCTGTCCTAGTGCTCCCTTTTGTATACTTTATGACTTTTGAACATTAAATCTAAAACTTAGTATCTAACATACAACACATAAAACAGACTTGTTACATCACATGATGAAATGAATAAAATCCCTATTTTGGAGAAACCAAATGAACAACAATTCATTCATGAAAAAGTGTTTACTGAACACTAATGTATGTATGGCCTTTTCTGGATGTGCAAGGGCTCAAGCAGAACAACACTGCCATCTAGGAGAGAGATAGGGATGGTTTGGTGGGGACAGTGGTGGCCTGAGGAGCAGGTGACAGGAAACATTGAGAGGTGTAACTGGACAGGAGTCCTACTCCTGGTCTGGATGGGGCACAGTGGGGAAGCGGAGAGATTTGTGGGGTAACTAGAAAGATAATCACTTCCTGAATTGGGAAGAGTCAGACTGGGAGAAGAACAAGTTTGTGGAAAGAACAAAGTTCTGTTAAGATATGGGTATGCCTGAGCTGCCCAACAGACAGCCAGACAAGGGTGAGAGTCAGTGTGTCTTCTCCTGGAACAAAACAGACTCTGTAAATATATGGAATATCAAAATTAGTTGAAAATGACCTCAGTGCAGAGATTTGGGAGTGACTGTTAACAGTTTCAATGTGATCACCTCATACCGCCAACACTGGAGTATTTCTTGCTTCCTCTCTGATCCCCTCTCCCAATGTCCCATTATGTCTCCATCCAATTTTTTGAGAGAACTTTGTTGACTTCTCTTATTCTCCTAAATTCTTTGAAATCTCCAAAATGGAGTTAAACGTTTAGGAAAACAGTAGCCATTTTGAAAGACAGTGAAGTTGGAAATTAATATTGAAAATTAACACAAGTATCAAGTTTTCATATCCACCCATAAAACTTTTACATGAACAATTAAAAAGAGACATATTGAATGACTGTAACTCACTCCGTATGACCCTGGAAAACATTCACAGAGTGGATGGACGGGTCCCTAAAGTCCCACAAGCGGAAGGTCGTATCACGGGAGGAGGTTACCACGAGCCGTTGGGTGGGGTGTGTACAACAGTGCGTGAGTTCTTGGTCATGCCCTGCAATACAACCAAAGACAACAAAAGTGCAAGGTCACCCATCTGCAGATACAGTCAGAATAAAGCTTTCTTAAAAAACACTAGAATCGCCAAAACCGATTTGGCTCAGTGGTAGAGCGTCCGTCTGCGGACTGAAAGGTCCCAGGTTCGATTCCGGTCAAGGGCATGTACATTAGTTGCGAGCACATCCCCATTAGGGGGTGTGCAAGAGGCAGCTGGTCGATGTTTGTCTCTCATTGACGTTTCTAGCTCTCTATCCCTCTCTCTTCCTCTCTGTAAAAAATCAATAAAATATATTTTTTTAAAAAAACACTAGAATCACCCTAACCAGTTTGGCTCAATGGATAGAGCATTGGCCTGCATACTGAAAGGTCCCAGGTTCAATTCTGATCAAGGGCATGTACCTCTGTTGCGGGCACATCCCCAGTAGGAGGTGTGCAGGAGGCAGCTGATTGATGTTTCTCTCTCATCAATATTTCTGACTCTCTATCCGTCTCCCTTCCTCTCTGCAAAAAATCAATAAGATGTATTTAAAAAAAAAAAACAACAACACTAGAATCAAAAAATAGTCTTTATGATCTCTATTACTAATATTTATTCACTGTAAACGTAAACACAAGGAATCATTTAATGACAGCATGTGTGGTCACAGTAGCTGGAAGTCCTTTCACTTGTACATTTAAAAGGATCATGACACTCAGTGAGTGTAACCCAGTTCCTGATCCTAACAGTTAAATGGTCTGGCAAATCTCTTTAACATGCTCAGCTTGCAAACAAATTAATTCTTAGTTCTTCACTTCCCAAATGACCTCTAATAATATTTGTGGAACCTTCTGTGAAATACAGTCTTTAACAATCAATCAGAAAATGCACCTATTGACAAATTTGAAATACATTTGTGATGGGCTCAATTCTAAGATGACCTGATATACACACCCTGTCTGATACCTTCCCTTGAGTTTGGACAGAACCTGCAAATATGGTGAGTTACCATTCCAGTAATCTCATTATGTTATAAGGCAAAATGGACTTTGCAGCCATAACTAAGGCCTCCAAACAATGTGGCTATGAGTTCATCAAATTCAAAAGATGTCCTGGTGAGCCTGACCTGATCAGATGGGCCGTTTAAAGGATCCAGGCAGCCCTGGCTAGTGTAGCTCAGTTAGTTGGACCATCATCCCACAGACCAAAAAGTTGTAGGTTCAATTCCTGGTCAGGGTTATAGGTTTGATCCCTGATCTGGGAGTGTATGGAAGGCAATCAATTGATGTTTCTCTCTTTACCTTCCTCTCTCTAAAACCAATGAAAAAACATATCCTCAGGTGAGGGTTAAAAATAGTAAAACTGCAGCAGAGATGCTCTCTTGCTGGTACTGGTCTGGAAGAAATCAAACAGCCATGGTTAATATACCTCTAGATGGGGACCATGCTAGATGCTAAAAGCAGTCCCAGCTCAAAATTCCTGACCCAGGGAAACTGTAAGGTTATAAATTCATTTTATTTTAAGACACCACCTTTGTGGAAATCTAATAAAACAACGGAAAGCTAATACACTAGCATATTTCAAATATCTAGATACTACACGCTACAATTAAATCCCCTAAAGATAAAATTAGCTACCAACAGTTCTATTAGAAAGGATTTCTGAAAAATCACATCCTGAGCACCCAGAGAACTGAAACTATTTCTGGACAGAAAGGAATGTGCAAGGTAAGATATAAACACATGCACATAAATCACAAGTACACCTCTGGCAGGCCAGGGCTAAAGTACCTGTCAGAGAGTGAACGAGCTCCGCTGTCTCCACGTCATACAGGTTTGCTGTTCGGTCCCAGGAGGCCGTCACCACCTGCTTCCCCCCAACCAGCCAGTCAGCAGCTATGACTACTCCCTGGTGACTCTTAAGGGAAGTCAATGGCAACCGGATGGTAGGACAATCACTGGACACGTCGCCATCCACATCAGGCTCATCTTTATCGGAGCACTCAATTTCATCCTCGCCACATATCTGCAGTTAAAGGTGAGAGCAGAGAACTCCTGAGAACTATGGGTCTTCCTGGCGTGACTACACAATCAGACTGTGTCACTTGTCTTTCTAGGATTTGTTCATCATTATGACAATACTGGCACAGTACATAATACATAATTGGTACTCAATAAATTTTATCACCTTTATGATTATGTGCTTGGCTAAAACCAGGGCCAAATATAAGGAGAGAAAAAAATTAGGGCCACTATAACATCATATAGGCTACTGTCCACTTCTACTAATCAACAAAATGGCAAATACGAGTAAAATTATTTTCAACATTTTAAGTTTTTATCATATATTAGATATGTAATAAAACTAAACAAATGCAACTGAAAGTCAATAATTCATCATAATAAAAAATATATATTATAATTCTCAAGTGCCTGCCTATATTGCTAAAACAATAGATATGAAAGTTCACTTTATTTTCATACAAATCAACCAAGTCTTTTGTCAAAAGCTAAAGATAAATAAAAACATAATAGTCACTGTAGGCTTCAGCTCTTTAAGAAAATGTTTATCTATTCATTTAACAAATATTTATCAGGTGTTACACAGTGCTAGACCAAAGAGCAGAAGGCACAGAGCAGGAGGAGGCAAACTCTGCTGACATGTATAAGCAACAATGAACAGCAAGGTGCACACCCCGTACTGCAATGAAGCCGGAGAATGGCCACTCCCCGCCTCAGGGAGCTAACATGCTAACAAAGAAGACAAGTCACACATGTGGGGGTGCATGCACACACACATTAGAATGGAAATATGTATTGTGTATATTCACACATTAGTGTGGGAATACACACCATGTGTACACACAGGGACAAGTGTGACATGTACACACACATTGTATAGTGATATTTATAATACACACACAGTCCTGGTCAAGGGATACATGTCACATGCACACACACAGATTCAGGCAATAATAAGTGCTAAGAAGGAAAATAAAGCAAGATGAGGAGATGGACAGTCATAAGGACTACTCTTATTCAATATTATCAGGGAATCTCTGCTAAAGTAACATTTGACTTGGGAAGTGAAGAAAACAAAGGCATATTTAGGGGAACAGTGTTCTGAGCCAAGGGAACAGAAGATGCAAAGGACAAGAAGAGAACAGATGAGCTGCAGAGTAAGAGATTATAGAGATGTTACCAGTGTGAATCAGGTAAAACTTGGAGAAATAGAAAGGACTTTGGATTTTATTGTGTGTGTGCTGGAAAATCACTAGATGGTTTTGAGTAAGGAAAAGAGATAGTCTGACTCATACTTTAAAGAACCAATGTTGTGTGAACATTCTAGATGGTTGAACTGTGTCTCCCAAAATTCATGTTGAATCCTCAATCCCAGTACTTCAGAATGTGACAGTATGTGAAAAAAAAGGTTTTTATTGATTTTTAAAGCCAGAGGAAGTGAGAAGGATAGAGACAGAAACACTGATGACAGAGAATCATCGACGGGCTACATCCTGCATACCCCCTACTAGGGATTAAGCACAAAACCCAAGCATGAATGAGCCTTATCCAGAAATCAAACCGACTTCCTGGTTCCTGCACCACCCTCAACCGCTGAGCCACACCGGCTGGGCGAAATAGGGTCTTTAAAGAGGTAATTAGGGCCTGGCTGAGTTGGTTACACATCATCCTATGCACCCAAAGGGTGCCGATTCAATTCCTGGTCAGGGCACATATCTGGGTTGTGGGTTCTATCCTGGTCGGCACATGTATGGAAGACAACCAATCAATGTTTCTTTCTCTTTCTCTCTTTTTTTTCCTCTCTTCCCCCCACCCCCCTTCTTCTCTCTAAGTAGGGAAGATTTTTTTTAAAAAGAGAGAATTAGAGTTAAAATGGGGTCGTCTGTGTAGGCCTTAATCTGGTATGACTGGTGTCCCTAAAAGAGGACAGGAGGACAGACACAGAGATGGCCATATGAGAACACTGGAAGATGGCTGCCGACACACCAGTGTCCTAGGCCTCAGGAAAAATGACCCCTTCTGACAACTGGATCTGAGATTTCTATCCTCCAGGACCATGAGACAAGGATCATCTGATGTTTAAGCCCCTTTTAAGCTCCTTCTGTGGTGCTTTATTACAGCAACCCAAACACTGAAACTGGGAAGACTAACAGAAAGTGATCACCAAGTACAGGTAGGAGAAGGGAGCCTGGATGGGTAGTAGTAAACACAAGAAAGGTTAAATTAAGACACCCTCTGAGACAGCTCATGATCTGCCGATGGCCAAATGCCTGGGGGGGAAATTATAGATGACTTTCAGGTGTTTAGTTTAAACAATAGGGTGAAGGATAAAGGCTGAAACAGGGAACAAAACAAGAGCAGTTGTGGAAACATCCAGAGCTCAATTTCACACACATTAGTTTTGCAATGTCTGTAAGACACCCAAGTAGAAACTGAGTAAGTAGTTAGATGTCATAGAAGTCTGGAGTTGAGGACAATATGCAAACCTGGGGGGGAGGGGGAGAGACGGAAGGGTCAGCAGCAAGGGATGTTCCTTAAAATCACAGGTCTAAGATCAACAGATGGCAATAATAAAGCCATGTTACGAGCCTTAAAGACACTGAAGTCATTAAGGTCCCTGAAAATGGCAATAAAAAGAAAAAAAGAGCCGAAACCGGTTTGGCTCAATGGATAGAGCATCGGCTAGGGAACTGAAAGGTCCCAGGTTCGATTCCGGTCAAGGGCATGTACCTTGGTTGCGGGCATATCCCCAGTAGGGGGTGTGCAAGAGGCAGCTGATCGATGACTCTCTCCCATAGATGTTTCTAACTCTCTCTCCCTTCCTCTCTATACAAAATCAATAAAATATATATATTTTTTTAAAAGAAAAAAAGAAAAAAAAGATCAACTAGAGAGTAGAGTGAGAGGAAAACAGGAAAGAGGGTGGCAATAACCTACAAGCAAGTAAGAGGGCAAGGAGGTGACCCACACAGAAGTGAGTGCTGGGCGGTGACCCACACAGAGGTGAGTGCTGGGCGGTGTCCCACACAGAGGTGAGTGCTGGGCGGTGACCCATACAGAGGTGAGTGCTGGGAGGTGACCCACACAGAGGTGAGTGCTGGGAGGTGACCCACACAGAGGTGAGTGCTGGGCGGTGTCCCACACAGAGGTGAGTGCTGGGCGGTGTCCCACACAGAGGTGAGTGCTGGGCGGTGACCCATACAGAGGTGAGTGCTGGGAGGTGACCCACACAGAGGTGAGTGCTGGGAGGTGACCCACACAGAGGTGAGTGCTGGGAGGTGACCCACACAAAGGTGAGTGCTGGGAGGTGACCCACACACAGCTAAGAGAGTCAAGTGTCGGAGACCCAGGAGTCATTGGGAAGAGGAGGTGACCCAGCCAAGAGACTCAAGAGGAAGGAAGAAAATGAGAGAAGCACAAAATGTGAGATGGAGAGAGGGGTCACACTGTGATAACAACTTAGAAGCCCGAGGAGTGACTGTAAGTGTCTGCTGGGTGGGCAACATGGATGGGATGCTGACGTGAGAAGCCCAGCAGGGACACAGCGTATCCTAGAGAAGTGAGTAGGGAGAGGGAAAGGAATGCAAGGACAAGTCTGAGGTCTGCATGGGAAAACCAACACCCCATGGCTCCCCGTGGGAAAGAACGCTCAAGTGGGTTAGGGGGTGGCTACTACACCGTCTGTGTGCTGCTGGGAATGACACAAGAAAATAAGGAGGCAGGTGAAAATCTGCTGAGGGGAAAGTGAGAAAGTCACCCAGGAATGTGGCAGAAACGTGGCCTAGAGGAGTGTCGCAGTCCAGAGTTGCTTGGTGGTGAGGCTGGTCACAGGGTGCTCACTGATCAATGCTTGAGGGACAGGGGAAATGCCAGATGTAACACAGGTAGATTTGTCCAGGAGAGAATACACAATCTTGCGGCAAAGTTAAACATAAATGATTATACAAATTATCTATTCCATATAAATGTTAAATGCTACAAAGGATGCTCTGAGAGTAAGGCAGGCGGTCTATAACACTGAGAGGTACCTGCAGGATGAGGAATGGGGTGAGGGGAAAAGAACCAGGAGGGAGGGAGAAGGTGTGGAGTCAGGGCAGCAAGCCCAGCCCAGGGGCCGGAGAAGGGAGGGAATGCAAACTGAAACTAAGGGTCTACGATGACTCACTGAGTTGACTCACTGAGATTCAATGCTACAAAGACCATGTCTGATTTCATAGAGAAGAGGCTGGACATGAGCAGTCAGATCTGAGACAGGGAGACAAGTTAGAAGACTAGATAGTGCTCTTGACTAGAGATGGTGACAGCGAATAAGTTCCTGTGGAGTGTAGCCTGCTCAGGGTAAACCATTCCCTATCTGGTAAACAGCATCTAGAAGGGAAAAACAAGTCACTTATACATCCTGATGGAGACACTGTGGCCCAAACTCTCCTTCAGGGGACACTGGTTCTTGGGCAATGGGGCTTTTTTGCCCTCACAGCCACTCCTGAGGAACTTTGCTATCTCCTGGGCCGACAAGTGGGGGGGGGGGGGGGGGGGGGAGCACACGCGGGAGTAGAATGGAGAGGGGTGGTGTCTGAATGCCTCTGTGGGAAATGCAGAATAGGGACGCCAGGTAGGAGAAACTCAGTGGACACCTCAGGGTGGATGTTACAAAAGGAGTGTCACAGGGAGACAGAAGTGGATCCAAGATTTAGGAACCAGAACCAGAACCAGAAAGACATCACGTATTAGGTAGAAATGGAGGGGGGGAGGTGAGAGCAGGGAAGAGTCAAAGACAAGTGACAGTTCTGTCACCCAGACCTGCAGCAGTGAGCCTAACAGGCTCTTCACTAACTATTCTAATGGAAGAAGTGGCAAGTGGGCACGCAAAGGAGTAAATTCTGCCAGGGAAGTGGGAGGTCTGGGGCAGGCCGCGCGTGCAGTGTGGCCTTGGAACAGTGCGGTGGAGACCCTGATGTGGGAAGGGTGCAGGAGTGCAGAAAAACGGCCTGGAGCTCCCATGTAAAAAGTCCTAGTTATCAGGATCCACGTTTGAGAGATCAAAGAGAGTCACATTTACAGAAGTTATTTTATTTTTTAATATATTTTATTAGTTTTTTACAGTGAGGAAGAGAGAGGGATAGAGAGTTAGAAACATCGATGAGAGAGAAACATCGATCAGCTGTCTCTTGCACAACCCCTACTGGGGATGTGCCCGCAACCAAGGTACATGCCTTTGACCGGAATTGAACCCGGGACCCTAGAGTCCGCAAGCCAACGCTCTATCCACTGAGCCAAACCAGTTTCAGCTACAGAAGTTATTTTAGCAAACTAAATGAATTAAACACAAGGAATTAAAATATATTTAAAACACAAATGTAGTAAGTTATATTAAAAGAAAACTGTAAAACCTTTAACCTTAAGCTGGAAAAGGGCAAGAGGTGGGAGGGTGAGAATTGTTTATGTTTTTTGCCACTGTCTTGGAGACAATCTAATTTTAGTCATTTTTACTGCCAATAACAGGGAGTGTGCCAAGAACTGCCAATTTCATACTAAGAACCTCCTGAGAACCAGTCATCCACAGAACCACAAGTCCCTGAGTCACATGTTCTCATGTAGAAAGGACCACTGGGAGACCATATGTAACTCATTAATTTTCACTTTCAAATGGAAAAAATTCATTTCACTAAGTTAAATTAATTACTTAACATTATACAACTAGCATGATACAGCGATCAAACAGGCAATCTAAAACTGTTTACATGAGCTCTAGCTGGTTTGGCTCAGTGGATAGAGAGTCGATCTTCAATTCCAGTCAAGGGCACAGGCCCAGTTTGCAGATTCAATCCCCATTAGGGGTGTACAGAAGGCAGCCAATCAATGATTCTTTCTCATCATTGATGTTTCTATCTCTCTCTCCCTCTCCGAAATCAAAATTATTTTTAAAAAGAAAAGAAAAATGGAAAGGAATAACTTAAAAACAAAAACAAAAACAAAACAAAAAAACACTTTAAAACTGTTCACAGGATATCACCCAAATATTTCTCTATCAAGATGATGGATGCCAAATTAAAAGGAGAAAATGTCTGTCCAAAAACTGTACTGATTCAAAATGAACAAGATCTTAAGCAGACTAGTTTATTTCAGAATCTAGAACTGCTAAGAAATTCAGCAGAAGCTTAACACGTTAAGCACCCAGTCAGTCACTGGTGACTGACACTATACTTTCCGTCTGGAAGACAAAAGAGGCTGGGCACTTAATGTGTTAAGAACACAACTGGCTCTCATTTAAAGAGACTTATATGCACTGGATGGCAGCTAGAGAGGGGAGTCCTCACTAGGGAAGGCCACATAGAATTTTGGCAGTCCGCTGGAGCGGTTCCAGTCATGTACTATGATGAAGGCTCCTCTCTAATTCAGCCTGGGCTTCCCCCACGTGCCCCAAATCCTGAGGCAGCGACTCCATGAAAAGGCCCTGTGTCTAATACAAGCAAAATCATAAAGGAGAAAAAGTCAATTTAATAGTCTATATAAACTATTAAGTTTTTAAAATGTAATTACTCAACACAAGGGTTTGAAAAAAAAATAAATAATAAAAAAAAAAAGCAATTACTATACATAGTTTTCCCCTCTAACAAGACTGCTGCTTTCTTATTTATTTGGGGGGAGAGGGAACAACTCCACACAATGTTAACTCACTCTATGACCCAATGTAACCTTCACTTCTTCCTCAGATATCCTATCTCCAAATGCAGCCACAGTGGGGGTTATGGATCCAACCTCTGAATATTGGGGAAACTCATTCAGTCCATAAGATATTACAAAGTTATTCTAATTATTTGCAGACATCCAGAACCCCACCAACATACCCCAGGTCGTGTTTTCAGGGTTAAGTAAATGTGCTGCTTACACTAGTGTCAGCCACAGGCTGGGGTGTCGGCAGCTGAACCGCGTATCTCCAAATGTGAGCAGTCTGGTCTCCAGAAGCTGAGGAGAGAAACGGGGAAATTGTCCAAGTGCACACCAGATGTAAAAAATGCCTTCTGCAAGGCTCTGAGCATCCTCAGACGTATGTAACTTAGTGATCATTACTGAGATGAATGTACTTCACTCAAGTAGAGACCACATAATGCTATTGAGAATAGAGCACATGCACAAAATTAAGGTAATTACTTATAAAAATGCTCCCCTTTTAATCTTAGGGTGGAAAGCTATGAGAGTTCAGAGAAAATTTACAAATAGATTTTATTCTCCAACTACCTAACCTAAATAAACTGAAACCCAATTATAGTCTACCTTATGCCTCTAATAGGTTTTGAGGTATTTCAGAAAAGTAATACACAAATGCACAGTCCCACCCACTCAACCCTTATGGACCTCACGATCTGCCAGGCACTACATAAGTACTAACATTCACTTTCACCAGCCACCTCTGCAAAGTGATGCTAGGACTTGGGCCTGGAAAGAGAGGGCAGCTGAAGGCACAGAAAGGGGCAGGTGTGCCAAGCAGTTATCTCCACTGACTCTCGCAAGAGCACCTGCTGGATCCCATCTTGTCTTCTGGCTCCAGAGCTTACACACAAAATTGGCCACAAGCAGAGGATGGGACCTTTCTCAGGTGTCAAATGCATTTACTGCCTGACTTGCCAATCTCTCTTCGAATGAGCATCATAACCAAACCCCTGCCTTGCACTCCTCTCTCCAGCCCACTACTTTATCTGTTTGATCCATCAGCTCCTTTCTGAATTGTCTCTTGATTTTTTCCCCTTCCTTTCCAATTTCTTGTTGTCACCGGTCTCCCTCCATCTTCCCTTTCCCCAATCATATAATAAACAGCTGAGTTAATAAAGTTTAAAGTCCTCACCTACCTTATTACCCAAATGTTTTTTCAAGTGATCAGACCTGTGACTCACAAAGTGACCTCCCACTGTATTCTACTCACATGTAAAAGCACCAATTAGAACTACTTCAGTCCTTTAATCCAGGAATCAGCAAAATCATGCCCACGGGCCAAATCCAGGCAGCCATACTTTTTGCAAATAATGTTCACTTCATTCAGCCATGTGGCATTCAAAGATGTAACATTTACTTTTGGTCCTTTACAGACAAAGCCCTCTGATCTCTGGTTCATCCAAACATGAATTCTTCAAGGTTACTGTCAGTGTCCCCAAAACACCATAAGGGTTGGACATTTTATAGGAAAACTTCTCAGTAAAATAATGAATGTGTTTTGAAAACACTATATAAAATATGATAAACCCAAGCTACCACAGCTTAGGAGAACTACCTAGATAAGAATATGAATGCAGGCTCTGCAGACTGCTGTAACTTGGAACTATTATTTTCCTCATTTTTGTATTTGAAGTGCTGAATTAGGAACTCAGCAGGAATAATGGGCCTCAGAGAACTGAGTTACAATCTGCTGAGAATCATCACAGCACAAGCAGGGAAAGTGGGCAACTATGATGTCCTTTGTAAAAAAAACACCAAGAACATGGATCAATGTTAATCTCATAATAAAGTCAAGTTCGTGTAATTTGCAATCCACTACTGATTAAAAGAAATACTACTTAATATATTTTTCTTATTTCTCACATAATTCATAAACATCTACTAACACATATCTAACTTTTATACATAATCCTGATGCTACTTACAAGAGAATGATTATAGCTGTTTTAAGATTATCAATAACTTCATTCAATAAAGAAATTAAATCAACATACCAGTGAGAGCCAACTGCTCTGATGGGTGAAATTTTATAGAATTTACTGCAAAACAAAAATTTACATAAATAGGTTTAAATAAAACATCATCAGTATCTATTATAGTTACAGGATGTATTACAAAGTTAAATTTTAAAAGTAAAAGAACTATTGTAGTTCAAAATTAGATCCTCCCATTCAGTTAACATGTGAATAAACATGTAAATTACAGAGAACTGAGATACAATAAAAATACCCAATATCAGTTATCAAATTACCAAAGTGCAACACCGAGAAAAAGAATATTAATAACCTATTTATTTTTATCTTTAACTCTAGATGCCTTTTCTATGGATAATCTGCAGAGTCCAGTGGAGGACACTATACTGCCCACCCAGCTGGCCCTAAGCCATGCCTCCTTTCCAGCTCTCAGCACCCCATAGTCCAGTCACCCACAGAAGCCAGCCTTCACACCCACACCTGAAAGGAGATATGGGCCTCATATCCTATATAATGGGAGGAATATGCTAATTATCTTTTACGCCCTGAGGTGTAACGACCAACCACATAACCACCTACCTGATCACATATCTGCAGGAGGATGGGGCAGCAAACTACAATGGGATGGCAGAGAGCTACAGAAGGTGGCAGGGCAGCAAGCTATGAAGGGGGATGGAGGAGCTACAGGAGGGTGACAGTGGCCTACTGGCACATGGATTAGTGTGCAGGGCTACTAGTATGAAATATAAGTACCGTATTTTTCGGACCATAAGACGCACTTTTTTTCCCCCAGAAGTGGGGGGGGAAAGTCCCTGCGTCTTATGGTCCAAATATAGCCTACACATATACTTTTAAAAAAAGTTTTTTTACTTGCCCGGCTCTGTGTGGTCTCTGTGTGCTTGCCCGGCTCTAAAATGGTTCTAAATGCTGCTGTTTACTTTACAGGGTTGATTACATGTGTTTATGACTGTGATGTTGGATTTTAATGCACATAAAATATTTTAGGACACTATTTCTTTCAGAATCTTTTTTTCTTCATTTCCCTTCTCTAAAAACTGGTGCGTCTTATGGTCCGGTGCGTCTTATGGTCCGAAAAATACGGTAAATGTTGTCAGCCTTCAACAAATACTCTCCTTCAGTGAGATTCAGTTAGCTATGCCATCTATCTATATAATCTTCTATCTATATAATAGAGAAATATGCAAATTAGCCAGGACGCTGTAACATCATGACTGAACAGCAGGAACCTGAGGCTGCATGGTGCCTGGCCGGGGGCAAGGGACCTCAGGCAGCACCCCCTGCCTGGTGAGGCTCGACGGGGGATCTCAGGCCATGCCCCCGCCCCAGTACCAGGCTGGGAGACCTCATGCCACGCCCCTGGCCCAAGCACCATGACAGGAGACCTCAAGCCGTGCCCCCTGCCCAACTGTTCTTGACAGGGGACCTCAGGCTGCACTCCCCCACCTGGCACCAGGCTAGGGGACCTGAGGCTGCGCCCCCCCACCTGGCACCAGGCTGGGGGACCTGAGGCTGTACCCCTGCCCAGAGGGGCTTGATGGGAGTGGGGCCGGCCAGTCTGGGTCTCACCCAATGGGGGTGGGGCCGGCCAGGTCTGGGTCTCCTGGGTTTTCGAAGTGCAGGTGGGTGGTGGGCAGGGACCTGACTCTAGTCCTGCAGCATGCCCCAGACTCTGATAGGAGGGAGATTTTCATATATATTTTACTAATTTTCTTTCATCTCTACCACTTCTATCATAAAGGGCAAATAGCAATATTAAAATATTTCCTATAATTAATTCCCTTTTAATGTGCACGAATTTCATGCACTGGGCCACTAGTTAGAATTATATTTTTTCTAAAGAACTGAAAAATACAGAAGATACTGTTTTACTGTTAACACCAAACAGGTAGCTGTGGGAGGAGCTGGTCAAACAAAGAACTGTGATGCTTAGACCATCACCACACTCCTAACAGATGAACAGTATAAATATCTCAATTTCAGTAAGACTCACTGCTAGAGAGAAGTAGCACTGCTGATAGAACAGAAGCAAAGAGTGGAAGCACATGCTCTGAGACTGTTTGGGGGTACCTGCTCATGCTGACCATCACGAATTGACCCACATAGAGACACTCACCACACAGAATGACCACACATGTGAGTATCCTGGGCAGGACTGAACAGGAGCTCATTGCATATCAGCCTCCTCCTGCCCTCACCTTCACTTCCTCACTCCAGCATAAGACAGAAAAGCTCACTTCTCGACAGGTTGGTAGGGTGGGGGACACCCTTAACTCTAGAAGCAAAAGGCAGATGCCACCTAGCAATTTATCAACGAGAGTTCAGAGAGTGGCGGGGACCATGGGGCTACCTGTCAGAACATTGAAGATGATGCATTCCAGATGGAAGGACCCACAAAGGGAGCGGGACAAGAGTGGGTGAAATTTGGTCAGAACACTTGGACACACAAGGTGCATACACAGAAAGGGCAGGGAAGAGCTGCTGTGTTAACTAAGTACTAGTGGCAGGGAAGTGCCTGGGGCAGACAACAGCCTGCATTGGGTCTGATAAGGGGAAAGTGAATCTAGAGTGAATACGCAGTTTTTGACAAATAACACACATATTTCAGTTTCAAAACTATCTACCTGTGCCTGTCTGTGCAACATTAAATAAAACACAGACAACTCCTATCTGACATCAGTGAGCTGATCTTTCCCTTTGTGAAGCCTCCACTTAGAGGGATGGCATCTATCTGTCTGTCTATGAGAATGTCCCACTGTCCTGACACCAACTCAGCAAGCCTCCCATCTGGAGACCTATTTATGTAATAGCACTGACCTGATCCCACATGGCCAATGTACTTGATGAGGCACTTTCCTGTCTCAATGCTCCACAGCAAAGCTGTGTGATCTGCAAATTGAAACAAATAAGAAGAACTGAGCCATTGCCAGCTACATGGTCTTTTCAATAAAAGAATAAGACAAATATTCTAAACATGAGAAGTTACATTACCACTACTGTCTCTTGCAACTCTGATTTTACTATTCTGTAATTCAACTGATCAAAGAAAACACTTCCAGCCGAAACCGGTTTGGCTCAGTGGTAGAGCGTCGGTCTGCGGACTGAAAGGTCCCGGGTTCGATTCCGGTCAAGGGCATGTACCTTGGTTGTGGGCACATCCCCGGTAGGGGGTGTGCAAGAGGCAGCTGGTCGATGTTTCTCTCTCATCGACGTTTCTAGCTCTCTATCTCTCTCCTTTCCTCTCTGTAAAAAATCAATAAAAATATATTTAAAAAAAAAAAAGAAAGAAAGAAAGAAAGAAAACACTTCCAAAAAGATGGAAGAAGCTGGTGACTTGTCTTGGGTCATTTGCAGGCAAGGAGAAAAACCAGGGTCCTCAGTTCCTAGTTCACCGTTACAGACAGCACCCCACTGGAGGCTTAAATACAGAGGTCATTTACATCTCAGGTCCACTTTTCTAGTGAAATATTAAAACTTTTCAGATCACCTTGTAATATTCAAATGTAAATAGCATCTAAATAGTTAATTATTTGATGTTTAATAAATATTCCTTTAGACCTTTCCATTTATGGGCATAAGAAAAAGATAAAAAGTCGCCGAAGCCGGTTTGGCTAAGTAGATAGAGCGTTGTCTTGGGGACTGAAGGGTCCCAGGTTCGATTCCGGTCAAGGGCATATACCTTGGTTGTGGGCACAGTAGGGGCTGTGCAAGAGGCAGCTGGTTGATGTTTCTCTCTCATAGACGTTTCTAGCTCTCTATCCCTCTTCCTTCCTCTCTGTGGAAAATCAATAAAATATATTAAAAAAGAAAAAGAAAAAGATAAAAAGTAGACTTAATAGAAAAATCTGAAAAATAAATGCCAATTACCCAACTGAGATTTCAGAGATATCAGAAAAGGACCCTTGTTATTCTTCTTTATTAGTGGTAAATTCCTTAAATAATCTGGGATGCTCATGTACAAACAGAGTTTTAAACAAGAGAAAAAAGTTTTTTCATCATTCTAACTAGGTTTTACATTTTCTATTTCCACTTGAAAAGGCAGATTCTAGTAACTTGTCACAGCTGGAAAAATTCATTTTTAACAAGTGAGCACCATTTTAATTTTAGCAATTTTTAACTGAAGGGGCATTAATTAGACAGCTTTCAAAAAATGCCTTTTCTTTGGTGAGAAGATAGGGGTCTCAATAACGCCCACCCTGTGATTCCCAAAGGCAAACTCAGGGCAGCAGCAGCCTCACTCCCCTAAATCCTGGAACAGTAGTCCCCCTTCAGACCACACAGCACTTCCCTCAGCCACACCTTACAAGTGGGAAAAATGTGAAGTGTACTTTCAAAAGCAGATATAGTTAGCATAAATAACAAGAAAGCCAATAAAAAAAAAATAACTATTATGGCCCTAACCAGTTTGGCTCAGTAGATATAGCATCAGCCTGTGGACTGAAAGATCCCAGGTTCAATTTCAGTCAAAGATATGTACCTTGGTTGCGGGCACATCCCCAGTAGGAGGTGTGCAGGAGGCAGCTGATCAATGTTTCTCACTCATCGATGTTTCTAACTCTCTGACCCTCTCCCTTCCTCTCTATAAAAAATCAGTAAAATATATTGGGGGGGGAGGGGGAAATACCTAATATGTTTAAAAAATATCCCACCTTCTGCTGCCTTGAATAGTGATTCCTTAACAGAGTTGGCTATATACCCTGGAGACAGACATGGCATCACACCCACAGACTGAGAAAGGCCGGACAGGGCCATCAGAACTAAGCACCAAGTCAGGGCTTTGTATGAATGACTGCTCGGCCACATGTCTCCTCCCAGGGTCATTCTGCTACAACACCCAAAGGTCATTCATTCACACCAGCTGTTGTACAATCATGAGTGACAAGCAGCGGGGCTAGCTCTGGACTCACCAGCAGATGCAGTCCCCAGCACCACGGGCTGTGTTTTCGCCACACTGACATCCCAGATGCCATCCCTATGGCCAATGTACTCCTTCACAAGCTGGCACACAGCCCTTGATGTGGTGGCCTTGAAGCTGGAGACAATCTAAAATTGCAACAGGAAAGAATATTATAGATGATTAACTGAGCAAATGTTTTTTAAGTTAAAAAAAAAAGGATGTTTAGAAAATGCATAAATCATTGAACAGAATATTTAAAACACTAAAGGAACGTGACATAAATGCAAATAATGGAACTCATCCAGCTGGATATCACAAAGCAGGATTGAAGTCTTTACAAAGGTCCCAAAACCCCCCCACCAAGTCCCTCAAGCATTCCTACCATGAAAAGAAAAGCCTATTTATGTATTCCAAGTCACTCTTCCAAAATTCAAATCATCAAAAAATTTCCAAATTCTGGAAGATATACCCCAAACCCTTAACACTAATTACTTTTACTAGTGGGGACTTTCCTTGTGTTTCTTTTTGTTTTGGGGGACTGATACAAACCACATTATTTTTGGAAAACACCAAAAGTTGGACCCTCTAAACAAATGAGATCTTTCCAGCATTGTTTGATGAACACGAGCTTGATGACCCCACCATACTAGGAAGAGGCACAGGGCAGCCAGGGTGCAAGCAGCTCACAGCCAAGCACCACACAGGCCACAAGATGGTGCGACATCATCTAGCATGACACAAAGCAAACAATTCTCCCTTTCCGTATAAGGAAAAGTGGAAAGCATGTGAGGAAGACACTAATTCAACACAAAGAACTCTTCAGAATTTCACTTTTAAAATTATAAAATCAAGTGAAAAAGAAAAATCGGTGGCTTATACAGCTGTTTGAAACTCTGGGTTAGAAAATCCATAAAAAGATGTCTCAGTTCATTCTTAGTGAAAACACAACCCACTGTTGCATCAACTCGGGTGTGAGGGCCAAGTTATTCCTAACACAGCAGGTGACAGAACCAATGTGTTAGGAGACCCATTCTCACCAGCACCACACCCAGGTTCCGTATGACTTGACTTAAATATACATGGAATTACGAAAGGACCAGGTCAACCTCAAACCTTCTTCTTTTTGAAAGCTCATATCCTACTCAACCTAGTAAGATTGTCACTACAGGTGAAAACATTGTTAAGTGCCATTCATGTGTTAAATAATGTAACATTTAGAAAAGCGTGAGTGGAGAAACATGCACAGCCTACCCCCACAATAAGTGATAGCAAGTTTAATTTTCCAAGTCTACCATTTCTATACAGACCATATAAATATCAGAAATGAACAACTGAAGCCACATGCATCACTGAGCCTACGGGAACAGTAAGGACTGAGGGGCACTGACTCATAAAAACATTTCTGGTGGACTCCAGGAAGAGGTAACAGGCAGTCCAAGAACACTAACACATTGCTCCTAATGCCACTACAGAGTGACCACCTCTTAACTCTGTTCTTAAAAGTATTAACTGCTTAGCCACAATTGCAAGGACTGAACAACTCAGAGAAAACATTCATGACAGAAAAGCAACATGATGAAGCAACAAATGGATACTCACACATCCTAACTATCATTTTAACTGAGATATAATCTAGACTACTTTAACAAAATCCAATGTGTGAATGTTTTCACAAGTTTCTTTCAAGTGGTTTGCAGATTCAACTATCGTATCTGCCTTCCTTCTTCCTGGTTTGCTCAGTGAACTTCGGTTTTCCACTATGTCACCAAACACTTACCTACCTATCTGCTGAGTCAGAGGGGGAAAGTAATAAACCCAGAACACAGAGCCTATCTACTACACTGTATTAGCTCCTATCCAGAACATGCATGGCACCAATCAGAATACATTCTGATATCAGATCATTTCTCCCAATTTTAAATAATGTCATATATGTTCATTGTTATTCTTTAAGATGGGTATACTCACACTGTGCACAATGCTATAAAGATCATTACCCACATGCTTCTCATAAATTCAGATCAATTTCTAGTATCCAAAATGATTGGGCTTTATATATTTTTTTAAAGCAAAGTGTTATTGTATACACCTTACCTTTGCCCCAATCTTATTTTTCAATACTCATGGTAAGTAATAATTATATATAATCCTTTATTCCTCTACTTCAAAAATTATCAGTTCTCTGATAATTTTTGAAGTAGAGGAATAAAGGATTATATATAATTATTACTAGATGATTTATTTGGCTCAGTGGATAGACTGACAGCCTGCGAAATGAAGGCTTTGATTACCATCAAGGGCACATGCCCAGGTTGTGGGCTCAATACCCAGTAGGGGACATGCAGGAGACAGCCAATCAATGATTCCTTCTCATCACTGATGTTTCTCTCTCTCTCTCTCCCTTCCTCTCTGAAATCAATAAAAAACAAAATTATCGGAAAGTTTTGGCATTCTAAGATCTTATGTATATAAGTTAGAATTACTAAATAAACAATATAATCTCTCTATATATAAAAGCCTAAGCGACCGTTAAGACGGAACAACTGGAACGACCTGAATGATCAGTCACTATGACACACACTGACTACCAGGGGTCAGATGCTCAATGCATGAGCTGTTCCCTGGTGGTCAGTGCACTCCAACAGCCAAGCTCCCATGGCTGGTCAACATTCCCCAGTTCCTCCCTGCAGCCGGCCGACCAACCTCCCATGGCCCCTTACCCTTACCCCCGCGGGCCCAGCCCTGCCCCTGATGGGCCCTGATCAAAGATGGGGCTGGCCAGCCTGATCGCTGGCTATGCTGAGGGGCTCCACCCGTGCACGAATTCGGGCACCAGGCCTCTAGTACTCTAATAAGAAGTTAAATGAGGAAGAACACAACCTCACCAAATTTGAAAAAAGTTTAACATTTATTAAAAACTTCAAATCTAGTTAAGTTTAAGGTAAATACATTTTTAAAAAATTTTAACTGTTTACATTTCAAAGTTATTTAAAAGAAGAAAAAAAAAAAAAAAAACAGCCCTAACCAGTTAGGCTCAGTGAATAGAGTGTAGGCCTTCGGACCAAAGGGTCCCAGGTTCAATTCCAGTCAAGGGCACGTACTTGGTTGCAGGCTCCTCTCCAGCCCGGGCCCTGGGTTTTTCTGTCAATGAGGACACGGGGGCAACAGGCAATTCCTTCTTTCCTCTGTGCCTAAATTATAGACTCAAGGCTTGTGCAGGTGGCAACCAATCAATGTGTTTCTCTCACACACCAATGTTTCTCTCTGTCTCCCCCTCTCTCTTCTACTCTCCCTGGAAATCAATGGAAAAATATCTTTGGGTGAGGATTAACAACAACAACAAAAACACACACAAGAAAATGTCAGCAATACTCAGATTTTTAACTAAGAATTGCTAAAGACTTCCAAGTAAACAGAAAGACCAAGTCTGCTACATTAATTGCAGTTAATCTCATTTTGGACCTTAAGAGAAATAACTGTAAGCTCAGGGAACAAACTGGAAAAATAAAAAGTTAACAATAACTATTTATGTCTTTATGACAGACTCACCACAAATTTAAACTTTCCCTCAGGTTTAGAAAAGGAGTATGCCTTTGTTAAGGTTAGGTAATTTAATTTACATTTTGTATACTCAAAATACTCCAAAGCAGAGATGCATACAAAATTACCTCAAAATATTACTTCATAATGGTAATTCCTCATAAATATTTCCAAACTATTAAATCCTGCAACTTTAAGAAGATCAGAATAAGCCGAGACAGGTTTGGCTCAATGGATAGAGCGTTGGCTTGGGGACTGAAGGGCCCGGGTTCGATTCCGGTCAAGGGCATGTACCTTGGTTGCGGGCATATCCCCAGTGGGGGGTGTGCAAGAGGCAGCTGATCGATGACTCTCTCTCATCGATGTTTCTAACTCTCTGTCTCTCTCCCTTCCTCTCTGTGCAAAATCAATAAAATATATTTAAAAGAAAAAATAAAAAATAAATAAAAATAAAAAAAGAAGATCAGAATAAGATAATTTAAGAAAAAGCAAAATACCACACACACAAAAAAAAAAAAAAAAAAGCCTTGGAGACAAGACCTTCACTTCCTGATTATACTTGGAAAATTAGAGAAATTGAACTAAAACTTAACTATAGTTCAGAATGTAATTTGCCAACAGAGGGGTGAGGGAATGAATGGGGAGGAGTTGGGGAGTATAGGGGGGATGAGGACACATACCTTAATCAATAAAGAAGAAAAAAAAAAGAAAAGAAAAAAGAAAAAGTGCCCTGAAGTGGGAAAATGATGAAAATAGATATAGCATACCTATATAATTATATTTTATGTTGTTATTAAAATGTGTTTACAAAAAAAAATGTAATTTGCATTGCTTTATACCTATTTATTAGTATTCTCCAAATTCAGAGTCTCTGTATCAAGCCAAGTAATAATACAAAATATATCTTTCCTCAAAAACAAACAAATTTACTGATGCATAATATAGTAACTTCAACAAGTATTAGTATCTTGGTATCTATATGCTGTGGCCATTTAACAAATCTATCCTTCTAAAAACTGACTTAATACCAGAAGTTTATCTTTTCCTATCAGACATATCTAATTAAAAATATGCAACTTTGAGTATACAATACATATGCCCACCTTAAGTACCATATGACTGGCCCAGGAGCCAGCGCCTTGCATACCTTACTAGTGGAGGCCTTGTAAGTGGTCTTCAGCTTCTGAGAAAGCTGGCTGGTACTGTGACTGGCTGCCGAGACAGAGAATCGACAATCAATACAGCCATACAATTAAGGAGCCACCAACTTTCAGAGCTGGGATATAACTGCAGTCATTAATGGGATCGTCCATTTCACATAGGTAAGACAGTGCAATTGGGAGGGTTGTCTGTTCATTCGGACACAGGGACAACAGGAAATTCCTTCTTTCCTCTGTGCCTACACCTAAATTATAGACTCAAGTAGTGCTGATCATAAAATCAATGAATTATGTCCTACATTAAATTCCAAATTCCCCCCATGTAATCTGCAAGGCACCATTCACAAGTACCCCCCTTACCTTTAGTTTTCAGTTGGCCCTTACTCAGTTCTGCCCCATCGATCACTTGTCCTTCAGCAGCTAAACGCTCATTAAGAGTCTCAATTTCTCTACGCACTGGAAATAAAATTAAAAATGTAAGTTAAAATGTGTTCCTAGCTGGTTTGGCTCACTGGGTAGAGCATCAGCCTGCAGATTGAGGGATCAAGGGTTCAATTCCAGCCAAGGGCACATGCCCGGGTTGCAGGCTCTATCCCCAAAGGGGGGTGGTATGCAGGAGGCAGATGATCAATGATTCACTCTCTCTCCCTCTCCTTTCCTCTTTGAAATCAATTTTTTAAAATGTTGTTTATAAAAAGAGTTAAAATGTATACTTTTTGTTTAAATATATTGACCACTTCCAAACATTGAGCACATAAAAATGCTACCCTGTTTCCCCGAAAATAAGACAGTGTCTAATATTAATTTTTGCTCCCAAAGATGGGCTAGGTCTTATTTTCAGGGGATGTCTCTTTTTCCATGAAGAATATGGTACACATTTATTGTTAAATGAAAATAAAGGAAATTTATTACCTGTATACAGTATGGTAGTACAGTAGTTGTCAACACAAACCAGACAAACTGTGAATCCTACAGTATTAAGAATTTACTCATTTATTCAATGACAATCATGTCATCATCTTCTGGAACATCATCATAACAATCCAATTCCTGAATTTCCTGGTGAATTTCTTGTGACTCCATTTCTTTCAGAATCAGTGAACCAAATCTCTCACGTTTAGCCTAGGGGGGCCTTATTTTCAGGGGATGCCTTATATTTCACCCAGAAGGAAACCTGTAAGTAGGTCTTATTTTCGGAAGATGTCTTATTTTCGGGGAAACATGGTATATATTGGTATTTTCTAAACAAAGACTTTAATAATACCCTATTAACAAAATCAGTTTATAGAGTTCTTAAAAAATTCAAGACATGATTCCAAAAATAGAAACTGGCTCTCATCAAGCAGAGCTGTTGGATTTTCAATGTAATTTTTTCCCCTTGTATTTTATTCTATATATTTAAAAACATAATCCTGATATTGTCCAAAACTAAATGTAATATTACAGTGTAACTGAGGACAATGAAATCAAGGGGAAAAAAACATAAAATAAAAAAACATAATCAGCCCTAACCAATTTGGCTCAGTGGATAGAGTGATGGCCTGCGGACTGAAGAGTCCAGGTTCGATTCCAGTCAAAGGCATGTATAGATGCTATTATCTCGCTGTTTCCACACTCTGCAGATGAGAAAAGAGACCAGTGGGGGAAGGACTTATCCAAGGACACAACCAACTGTAGCCTTGCAGCTGGTCCCTGTCTGACCACAAATTCCACCACTAAGGCTATGAGCCTGCCATGCTGCCTCCCAGGCCTGGACAAGATCAGTTCAGACTAATGTGAGGCCAAGTGTCTGGGTGAAAGTGCAAATGAGATCAATTAGAAAGAAGACCAAGCACAAAAGGCTCTGAACAAATCCAGTCTGAGCAATTTCAACTCTACCTCACAGGCAATAGGCAGTCACTGACCCTCCCACATAAGTCATCTGTAAATCCTACAGTTTTTCTTGAAAGACTGTACAAATTCATAAAACACAAGGCCTTAGATCACAATGGAAATTCAGCAATACTTGGATCCATACAACTGTGATACTAAAAAAAATGTTTAAAATCAGATGCAGTACTTAATACCTAATTTTATCTTATAAAATGCTGGAATAATTCCTTCCTCTGTAAATTTTTAAGATGGCCTTTCAAGGAAAATCCAATATCAAAACGTTAAATTTTCTAGTAACAAAGTTTAAATGACATAAGATTACACTTAGTTCTAGGGTAAAAATATTCTAATAATATAAAAGCTATTTATTAGTAATGAATTTTTAGAATCAATTTATAAAAGACCTGGTTATGGTTAAAACTTTTACAAACACAAACCCTGGAAAATAACAAAAACTGGCAAGTAATAGAGCAGTGAGGGGTAAAGGACACATTTCCTAACATTTTGCAAAGTATGACTTCATGTAAACTAAACAGAGCAAAACAGATTAAGTTCATAAAACAATTACTTGAAGAACTAAGAGCAAAAAATGCAGCAAATGTTTTCCTTTGCACAGTGGGATGGGTTAACACGCAGAATAATGACAGATATGTTTCTTTTTTACTCTGCTTGTTTCTTCAAGGCAGCGATTACCAAAGCTGTGTCATAACAGGCATACTGGTGTGCCACAAGAATTTTTAAAATATGCAATATCTGACTATTTTGTCAGGGGCACTGACCTCTTTTCCCTTAAATTGTCACATAAAAAATAAATAAATAAGAGCCTATAGAGAACGCCTGGAAAGGCACACGAGCATTTCTTTAATTACTGCCAGCTGAATCCAGTGGGTTCCGGAGTCCGGGAAATGCCCTCGCCAGAGGCAGGTGTGTGGTCAGCTTGACCTTAGCCTCAGGCATCTGGGGGTAGGTTTCAAGCACCAGGAACAAACAAGATTATCTGGCCCAACCAGAAGTGAGGATTATAAGGAACCTACAAGAATGCACATAATCTCCTTTGTCTTGGGCTTTATTAAAACTTCCAGGGATTTGCTGTATAAAATAAACTCTGGGTCCCAGTCTCTCCATCAGAAGAGAGTGGTCCCTCCCAGTCCCAGCTTTCCCTACTATATTTGTGTCTGACTCTTTCATTTTCTCAATCCCCAGTCACCACTACTCAGGAACCGGACCGCTTTCTAGCCTCACTAGCCGGACACGAAGAAGAAATATTTATATCTAACAGCCAACACAACAATAGCCATCTGGTGTGAATAAATAAAAATTGTACCTATTTATTTTATCAGATTGGCAAAAAATGTATTTTTTGGTGTGCCACAGAATATTTAGTTTATGTGTGCCATGAGATGAAAATGGTTGAAAATCACTACTTTAAGGAAATGAAGGAAATGCTTCTAAAATAAAAATTTTTTAATGTTTTTCAATTAGTTTATATTCAATATTTTGTATTAGTTTCAGATGAATAGAAATTGTTTTTTCAAAAAAAAACTAAAGACAAGAGAAAGAATATATGCATCCCTATGTTCATAGCAACACAATTTACAATAGCTAAGATCTGGAAACAGCCTTAAAATGCCCATCAGATGAGTGGATTAAAAACCTGTGGTACATGTACACGATAGAATACTATGCTGCTGTAAAAAAGAGAGAACTCTTACCATCTGCAACAGGGTGGCTGGACCTGGAGAGCATTATGCTAAGCCAGTCAGTCCACTAAAGCTAAGTATCACATGATCTCACTCATTTGTGGAATATAATGAACAACATAAACTGATGAACAAAAATAGATCCAGAGACACAGAAACATCAAACAAATTATCAAACCTTGGAGAGAGGGCAGGGAAGGAGGGAGGGGGAAGACCACACAATGGACACAGACAGTAGGGAGGTGAGAGCCTGTATTGGGGGGCAGGAATGAGTGAGAAGAGATCAATGGGGGAAAAGAGAGTCACAGAAAACTTTCAACAATGAAGAATTTTTTTAAAAAAAGAAACTAAAAACAAGCCCTGGCTGGCTTCATTCAGTGGTTAGAACATCAGCCTGCTCTAACAATGAGTGTTTTTAGTTTCGATTCTGGTCAAAGGCACATACCCTGAGTTACAGGTTCATTCCCAGCATCACGCAGGGCATGTGCAGAAAGCAACCAAACCAATCAATGTATCTCTCTCACATCAATGTCTCTCTTTCTCTGTCTCTTTCTCTTTTTCTCTCCCTTCCTCTCTCGCTCTCTTCCTCCCACCCGGTTCCCTCTCTTCCACTATCTCTAAAAATAAAAATAAAAAAAATAAAAGGCCCAGGCCGGTTTGGCTCAGTGGATAGAGCGTCGGCCTGCTGACTGAAGGGTCCCGGGTTCAATTCCAGTCAAGGGGCGTGTGCCTTGGTTGCGGGCACATCCCCAATGGGGGATGTGCAGGAGGCAGCTGATTGATGACTCTATCTCATTGATGTTTCTAGCTCTCTATCCCTCTCCCTTCCTCTCTGTAAAAAAATCAATAAAATGTATTTTAAAAAAAAATCAAAGATCACCCTTGGGTGAGAATTTAAAAAAAAAAAAAAATCTAAAAACAAGATGTCCAACTTTGAGGATCAGGTGTCGAATGAGAAGGTACACATAACTGCTAAATTCATCACTCATGCAGCCCCCCAGAGGAATTTATTGAAGCATTCTATATAATAAAGACATAGTATGCAAATTGACCCTCATGCCCTCATAAAATGGCTCCCAACGACCTGGTAAGAGATGACCAAAAGAGTGAACAAGCACAGTGCATGGAGGGACCAGGCCAGCAGGGAGGTGATTAGGCTGGCAGTAAGGGATGACCAGGCCTGAGGAGGGGGGGGCAGTTAGGAGAGAACAGGCTGGCATGGGGTGGGGGGCGGGGAAACAGTTGGGGCAACCAGGCGGGGGGGGGGGGGGGGGGGGGGGGCAATTGGGAGTGACCAGCCTGGCAGGAAGGGGGCAGTTAGGTGCAACCAGGCAGGCAGGCAGGTGAGCAATTAGGTGCCAGCAGTCCAGGATTGTGAGAGGGATGACCCAGATTGGAGAGGATGGAGGCTAGGCTGAGAGGACCCCATCCTACCCCCCACCCCCAACACAAATTTCGTGCACCAGGACTCTAGTTCAAAAATGCCCAGCTACTTCTTAAAAATGAATGACCATTTCCTTGAGGAAAGGGCAACACATGCATTTGCCCAGTATAATATGGATCAGTTCACACCTATAGAAATAGGATATGAAGATCAAGTCTCAATTACAAAACAGTGACCTGGATAATAGCAAATTTTTCAATCCAAGAAACAAAATTTCCTTTAAATTTAATTAATTACAGAAAGAAGCAGATTACTTCCAGCCAGAGGAAGTACTATATAGTAGATGGAGGTCTGAAGTCTTTGAGAGAATCCTGTGACAGCACTTAACAGGCCTGTGTGAAAGATCATTATTTCAATGGCTTCTGTGCTGTTTATGTTAAACTATTGATGGGAAACAGACCATTATTGCATGTATTGAAAGCCACTAGTTTCAGCCTAAAAACTTCTGGAATGGTTATTGAACATCACAATGAAAGTTCACCATCACACTACCTACAGCCCAGGAGATTGGAGTACTTAAGATTCAGATTCATTATTATGAATATGGCAGTGTTCAACTGGTTAGTCATAAAGATGTACAAGATTCAGTAACTGTTTCGAATGAAGTCCAAACTACCAAGGAGTTTATTAAAACCAGAGAGCATGCAGAAAATGAGTATCAGACAGCAATTAGCAAAAACCATCAAACAATGCCAGATACCATATTCAAGGCCTTGTGCCGGCAGCTTCCAGTTACCAACACCAAAATTGACTGGAACAAGATACTCAGCTATAAGACTGGCAAAGAGCCACAGCCAGTTTGGCTCAGTGGATAGAGCATTGGCCTGCAAACTGAAGGGTCACAAGCCCAACAACCAGTGTATGTGCCATGACCATGAATCAAACTGTAACCTCCTAGTTTATAGATCAGTGCTCAACCACTGAACCATGACAGCTGGGCAGCATTTTTATTTCAAATAAAATATATTGGTATTGTTTAAAAAGAAACACACACACACCAAAAAAACTAAAGACAAACTAATTAAAAATTATTTTGATTTACCTTTAACTAATAAGTCAAACAGATAATACATTTTTAAAAATTCTCAAAATACAGTATTTAGCCCTAACTGGCTTGGCTCAGTGGATAGAGTGCCAGCCTGTGGACTGAAGGGTCCCAGGTTTGATTCCGGTCAAGGGCATGTACCTTGGTTGGAGGCACATCCCCAAGAGAGGGTGTGCAGGAGGCAGCTGATAAGATGTTTCTCTCTCATTGATGGTTCTCTCTATCCCTCTCTGTAAAAAATCAATAAAATATATTTTTTGAAAAATATAGTATATTTTAAATTTAAAAAGAAAACCATGAATTAATGTTTATAATTTACAGTATACTTTAAGATGCATTTACTTTTTATGAAATCATAATTCAGATCAGCAGGTGTGGTCAGCATAACACTGCCCACCCCAAAGATAACCTGTGAACATGTGACCTCAGGGCCAAAGGGCCCTGCAGGTATGACTAAGGTGAAGAACCACTGATGGGAAGATCAACTTGCATGACTCAGGTGATCTATCCTTCCCACATGCCCTTAGGAGTGGGTCAGAAATGACAGAGGAGTGATGAGCCACAGAGTGTGCAGGCTCTACACGCTGGGAACACCAGCAAAAACGTAGGGACACTGTCCTCACTCCAAGTAAATGAAATCTGCCACAAGCCAAACAAACAGGAGGAACACAGCTCTGCCCACACCTGATTTTAGTCTGCAGAGCTGTAAGGTAATAAATTGTGTTATTCAAAGCCACTAATCTTAATATGGCAGCAAAAAGAAAAGGAGTACTGTGGTGAATGTTCACCCACAAATTTGACTCTCAAAGATTTTTAAGTTAAAAGTTATAAAAGTATATTAAGAGAGGAAATACTCACATTCTAAGTTTTCAATATAAAGATTTTCAAATTCTCTTTCTATTTGACCAAACAGTTCCAAAAGTGTACTGCGAACTGAGGAAGGCAGTTTAGAATCCTGTAGAAAAAGAAGATTTTGTTTAAAATGTATAAATGAATGACAAACTCTGATACCAAATACCAATATATTTTTTCCAAAATGAATTATCTTTTATCTTAAGCTTTTATATCTTTAGATGTTTTATTTCTTAGACATAAAATGCTTACAGAACTTTGTCTCAAATTTCTATAGATAAAACTAAAATCTACTTCTACAAATGGTTACCCAGGAAAATATGGGATTCAAGAATAAGCATTTCTGCCAAAATCAGTTTGGCTCAATGGATAGAGCGGCCTGCAGACTGAAAGGTCCTGGGTTCGATTCCAATCAAGGGCATATACATGGTTGCAGGCACATCCCCAGTAGGGGGGTGTGCAAGAGGCAGCTGGTCGATGATTCTCTCTCATAGATGTTTCTAACTCTCTATCCCTCTCTCTTCCTCTCTGTAAAAAATCAATAAAATATATTTTAGAAAAAAAAGAATAAGCATTTCTGTCCTAAGCAAGTTTGGTTCAGTGAATAGAGTGTCGGCCTGCAGACTAAAGGGTTCCAGGTTCAATTAAGGTCAAGGGCACATGCCTGGGCTGAGGGCTCAATCCCCAGTGGGGGGTATCCAGGAGGCAGCCAATCAATGATTCTCTCTCATTATTGATGTTTATATTCTCTCTAAATTCAATAAAAATATACTTTAAAAAAATAAGCATTTCTTTGAAATAACAGAATTGTTGTTGTTTTTTTACAAGGGAGGAAGTAAGCCTACCTTATTTTAAAAATTCCAAATTTGTAGCGAAGGCATGCAGTTCTCATAAATAAAATTATATTATGTCCTGACCAGGGTGGCTCAGTTGGTTGGAGCACTGTCCCATACACCATAAGGTCATGGGTTTGCTTCCCAATTTAGGACCTAGGTTATGGGTCAATCCCTAGTCAGGGAGCATATGGGACATAACTGACCCATGTTTCTCATTCTATCTTCCTGTCTCTATAAAATTAATGACTATATCTTTGGGTGAGGATTTAATTATATTATAAATAGCCTTTAAATTCTATCATGTGGTATTATAAATTAATTTAGTAAGTTATATATTAATAGAAATTGTGCCTTATAGAATCCTCATGTCCACTGTAACTCTATGTAATACCTAAAAGATTATCATGAGAAGAGAAAAAAGAAAAATGTCACTTGTAAAAGCAAACCTTATATCAATTAGCCAAAACCAGTTTGGCTCAGTGGATAGTGTCGGCCTGCGGACTGAAAGGTCCCAGGTTCAATTCCGGTCAAGGGCATGTACCTTGGTTGCGGGCACATCCCCAGTAGGGGGTGTGCAGGAGGCAGCTGATCAATGTTTCTAACCTTCTATCCTTCTCTTTCTCTCTGTAAAAAAATTAATAAAATATATATATTTTTAAAAACATATCAATTAAATGAAACCATTACCATGTAAGTTCCCAGTTAGCTCCTGGTGCCTGCATGCCTCAGCACGTGCTCTGCACACCTCCAGTTCCATCTAAACCTCATGGAAAGTCAGTGTGAAGAAGCAACATCTCAGCTAAATTTTTAGGTATGGTAAGTGAGTAAGCAGTGCCCTAGGCACCAACTGTGTTCACAAGCATTTACCTTCCAGACACAGCTAATAACAGGGAGACTGACACAGTCTACATTCTATTCTAATTTCCTAAGGACATGGCCGAGTATGTAGAGTATCTTCTGTGTGAACCCCCCTTCCCGGCACTTAAGAGTATTCTTAAGCAAAATTCTTAATATGTATTTCTAAAAACATATTTTAATACTTTAACTGCTGACACAGTAATTTTCTAAGTGGTTTTTCAAATTTATATGCAGAACAAACTTTTTGATGTTTAGTGAGTTGTAAATATATATTACATCTATTAAATTCCTTCATATTAACTTCTTAGGAAGACAAGAATTTTAGGCAAAATGATCTCTAATGACATAAGCATTATACCAGTATGTTTTGAAGTAATCACAGAATGCTCAAGTAAATTTTACAAGCTACCACTTGAAAATATATGTAAAGCCTTGTTTATAAATTGAATCTGATAGAACTGGTTCACATAGCCTCTCTCAATATCCCTCTAAAATACCAATAAAAAAAATAAAAATAAAAAAGAAATAAAAACTTAAACAATGAAATATAAACTAAACTAATCCAGTACAATTAATATTTAACACACTGTCTGCCCCGCCTCATGGCCCTTGCCTAGTCTCTTCCCTCTCCATGCCATGTTCTTGCAGAACCAGAACCCCTCATTCATTCAGCCCTCCTCAGAGTGTCACCTGGAAGCTTTCTGACTCTCAAGGCCCAATCTCTTGTCTATCAATTCCAACTCACCTACACCCACAATGTTTAAGATCCTTACGCAGCCACTGAAATGTTACATTTACTTAAATAAACGCCTCTTAAAATGTAATTGTAATGGAGATAAAACTAAGATGTCAGTGTTAATGTCACTTTATAAAATAAAGACAATCAAGAAACAAGGTGTAGTGAAATGAGAACTTTTCCACTAGAGGGCAAGAGGCCTGACAGAGCTCCTTCTGATCTTTCCTAACAGCTCTTCTAGTGCCATTTGACTTCACGGACCCTGACTGAGGAATTTAACTTATAGTATCACTTGAGAAAACTCCCAACAGAAAAACTACTATGATTCAGTAAAGCTTTTAAAGGGATTTACATTTTACCTCAGCAGCATGTACTTGGATAAAGGACGACCCTCAATGAACGCTCCATGCGCACAGAGATTTAGTCACCCTCTGGAACTACAGACTTCTCATCCCTGAGCTAAGCACTCCTTCCTAAACTACTCCCAACTCATGAATCTACGAGGTAATTTACTATAGCTTCTTCACACTAATCTTCACTATTGATACTGCTTTCCCACAAACTCAAAGAGCATAACTGTAACCTCCTCTAGAGAATGATGACCTATTGTTCAACTCAAACTCACTGGTAAAATCAACCACCTGTGCTCTCAGACCCCTCTGCTTACAACCACTAAGACAACTGCTTGCCCCCACACCACTGCTACCATCCTCCCGCTGCTCAACCAGGCAAAGCACCTCAAACCAGCCTTTCAGGACACTGGACTCATCAACAAGTAGGCACCATGCAAGGAACACTGGCGACACCACGATGAGGGTCAGGAGCAGTGCTAGGCTGTGCAGCTTAAAGGCCTTCACAAAAGGTTACCCTGAGATCCAATTACCCATGATGCTACATCACAATGGAGGGCAGGCCCTCAGAGGCCAAGAGAACACACATACCTCATATGGCAGTTCATGCTAGGAAATGCTAGCAAAGGATATAGACTTTTTCACTGCTAGAAATGTAAATAAATATAACAATTAAAAAATCATATCTTGCCGAAACCGGTTTGGCTCAGTGATAGAGCGTCGGTCTGCGGACTGAAAGGTCCCAGGTTCGATTCAGTCAAGGGCATGTACATTGGTTGCGGGCATATCCCCATTAGGGGGTGTGCAAGAGGCAGCTGGTCGATGTTTCTCTCTCATCGACGTTTCTAGTTCTCTATCTCTCTCCCTTCCTCTCTGTAAAAAATCAATAAAATATATATATATTTTTTTTTAAATCGTATCTTAGTAGTGGCCAATGTGGCTCAGTTGGTGGTATACCGTCCCTTATACCAAAAGGTCAAAGGTTTGCTTCCCGGTCAGGGCACATAAGTTTGCAGGTTGGATCCCCAATCAGGGTGCATACCGAAGCAACTGATCAATGTTTCTCTCTCCACCCCCCTCCTTTTCTCTCTCTCTCTCTCTAAATCAAATTTAAAAAAAAAAATTATCATCAGGTAAGAATTGAAAAAAAAATTATCGTAGACTATTTACCTGCACTGACCAACATGGTAGCCAGTAGCTCCATTTAACTATTTAAATGTAAGTTAATTAAATTTTTTTAAATTCCTCAGTCACAGGAGAGACACCTAAGACTTATGGCTGCTATATCGGATAGCAAAGATCTAGAACATTCATCATAGAAGGTCCACTGCACAGCTCTGGTTCAAACTCTTTCCTAAGAGTTATGAGCTGTGTTCCCACAAACTCATGTGCAGAAGTCCTGACCCTCCTGCATCTCAGAACATGACTTTATTCAGAGCTACAGTGACTGAGGTAAAATAGGGTCACTGGGATGGTCCTAACCCAATCTGACTAGTGCCCTTATCAGAAGGGGATGAAAACACAGCCACATACAGATGGACAACCATGTGAAGACACGAGTAGGAAACAACCATCTATAAGCCAAGGGGCCTCAGGAGAAATTGCCCACACCTTGATCTCCAACTTTCAGCCTCCAAGACTATTATTTAGAACTTTATTCTATGTGGTACTTTGTTATGGTCACCCAAGCTCACTAATACACTAAGAATGTCTATGTGGTACTTTGTTATGGTCACTCAAGATCACTAACACACTAAGAATATCAAACCCATTTTGGAGGCACCTTAAAGTCTATGGTTTTTATTTCTAATACTGTTAAAATGTAATTTCTTTTATAAAGCAGAACAAAGTATTTGTTCATTTATTTATCCATTCAATACGTATTAACAGGGTTCTAACTGAATATTTACTACGTGATAAGGTTCTTTTTGTGTTTTTACACTATGTTCTGAGTATGCACTGCTGCCCTCCTAGAAGCTATATCCCGGAGGCCCAGAAATCAGAGTACCAGGCAGGTTCTAATATGATCCAACATTCCAATGAGCCAATTTCTCAGATTTTAGCCTTATTTTCCTGTTATATTATGGCTGATGAATTAGTTATAATTGTGAAGGAACAGTCACAAAACTATATGTATGTATGCTTCTCTACATGCTTACCTATACAATTATGAATATGTATTACATATAATCTATTTTATTATCAAATATACTTTTAGGTCTCACAATATCCTTTAAAAACTAACACATTTTTGGAGAATCCAAGATGGCTGCACAGGTAAACACCTAGCCGCAGCCGCACACAACAATTTCAATAAAATACAACTAAAATATAAAATGGACATTACCCAGAACTACAGGAAAGTCGACTGACTGGAAATTCTACAACGAGAAGCAAGGAGAAAACCAGAAGAAAGAGAGGAGGAGCTGTAAAAGCCTAAGGTACGGAGACACACGTGTGGAGAGGACAGAGCCGGAGAGGAGGGGCAGCTGAGTGCCTGGCTGGTGTTCCCTAGCTGGAAGGACATAAACGCTCGGACTGTGCTGTTCCAAATGCTCTGAACCCCAGTTCTAGGCCAGACCCTGGGGACCCAGACTCAGAGGGAGCTGGGCTGTAAGGCGGAACCCCTGGGAAGCGGCGAAAGGAGGTCCCGGAGGCGCGCACAATGCGCACAGAGAAGAGGCGGTTGGCTGTGCCGCGGGATTGCCCTGGCGGGAAGGAGACAGGGGCTCCAGACTGCTCTGAACGCCACCTCCAACCCCACTTCCAACTGAACTGAACCCCAATACCGGGCTCATTGGGGGAGAGCCTAGACTGTTTGGTAGCAGGCAAAAATTGAGGGCACCTCACTCTAAGAGGTGCTTGCAGCGAGTACTGAAGGACTCTGAGACCCAGGAGCCGCATAGGGCAGGGCTGACAGAAGCCAAAGCTGTAGGCTCCACCCTGAAAGCCTGCACCATCAGGGAAGCTGAGAAAATGCCAAGACGACAAAATAGATCACAAACGAAAGAAATGGAGGACAAAAAGTGACTGGATATAGAGTTCAAATCTACGCTTAGAAGGTTTTTCAAGAAGTTCCTAGAAAAGATCGATAAGACCTATGAGGAAATGAAAAGGGATCAACTAGAATTAATAAGAAATCAACAAGAAATGATAAAGGATCAACAAGAAATAAAGAATACATTGTCTGAAATAAAAAATATTAGACAGAGTCCTAAAAACAGAATGGAGATCACAAGAATCAAGTCAAAGATTTGGAACATAAAGAGCCAGAAGACACTCCTCCACAGAAGCTAGAAGGCAAGAGAATCCAGAAAATTGAAGATAATGTAAGAAACCTCTGGGACAACTTCAAGCAAACCAACATCAGAATTATGGGGGTCCCAGAAGATGAGAGAGAGCAAGATTTCAAAAACATACTGAAAGAAATACTGACAGAAAACTTCCCCCACCAGGAGAAAGAATTAGACTTACAAGTCCAGGAAGCGCACAGAACTCCAAACAAAAGGAATCCAAAGAAGACCACACCAAGACAAATCATAATTAAAATTTCAAGAGCAAAGGACAAAGAGAGAATATTAAAAGCAGCAAGAGCAAAGCAGGTAGTTACCTATAAAGAAGCACCTATACGACTGTCAGCTGATTTCTCAACAGAAACCATGCAAGCCAGACGGGAATGGCAAGAAATATTCAAGGTGATGAAAGTAAGAACCTACAGCCAAAAATAATCTACCAAGCAAAGCTATCACTCAGAATCGAAGGCCAGATAAAGAGCTTCACTAATAAAAAAAAAGCTAAAGGAGTTCTTCACAACCAAACCAGAATTATATGAATTGCTGAAGGGGGTTCTTTCGGAAGTGAAAGTAAATAAAGATATAAAGATAAAAATTATGAACAACAAATACGTAACTATCAACAAGTGAATCTAAAAACCAAGGAAATTAAAAAAAAAAACACTGATGAACAATATTAACTGTTAAATATAATAGAATCAGAGGTATGGAAGGGGAGTGAACTGACGATTCTCGGGGAAAAGGGGAGAGGGGCATGTGGGAAGAGACTGAACATAAACTGTGCACCTATGGATGAGGACAATGGGGGGTGGGGAAAGGGCAGAGAGTGGGGTGGGAACCTGGTGGAGGAGAGCAATGGAGGGGGGGGGAGAAAAGGAACATTTGTAATAATATGAACAATAAAAATTTATTTTAAAAAAATAAATAAAAATAAAAATTAACACATTTTTGTCATAATAAAGGAACTAGAAAAAGTGTAAGAAAACTTAGCCTTATCAATAAAATATTAGTTCATCTGATCAAAAGGACATCAATTAGATGATATTCTCACTACAGAAAACTCAGGAGAAAGCCAAGAAAACATACTGAAAGACCTGATTCCAGAAACTCTCCAGAGAACAGAAAGGTCTCTGAAATAATACCTGATTCTCCTTTTAAACGGATAACTAAAACTGCACTGTAGAACAGAACAAAGAAGAAAAACTGATCCCAACTGTCACACCCACTTATTTTTACTATATATTGTAAAAACATTAACCTGGGGCCCTTGATGGTTTGGCTCAGTGGATAGAGCATCGGCCTGCAGACTGAAGGGTTCTGGATTCGATTCCAATCAGGACACATTCCCAGGTTGCAGGCTTGATCCCCAGGAGGGAGCATGCAGAAGGCAGCTAATCAATGATTCTCTTTTATCATTGATATTTCCATCTCTCTCCCGCTCCCTTCCTTTCTGAAATCAAATAAAATATATTTTTTTAAAACATTAACCTTGGAATTGAATCCTGTCACTGCAGGCTACTGTATTTGACAGTTTTATTTGGGGGAGGGAAGTTAGGTTTGTTTTGTTTTTTTAGTAACCCACACTTTTTCTCTACTTTAGAGACATGTATATATTTGCCTATTTCTGGAACATTACAATCATGCTCAGCACTAACTTACTTGTCCTTCTAACATTTCTCTTGGCAAACCCGTCCTCTCCTGTTCAGTGCTGTTAGTTCTTCGTATAGAAAGGCTATGAGATTTGCGTTTCTGTTTTGCTTGGCGAGCAGTTGAACAGCTCCCGCTTTCTGTGGGCATTACTTCTACAAGATGATATCCTGGTCACTCCCGCAATAAGCTAGACAAAAGCAGGAAAAACAAGTATTTTATTTCTGATTACAGCAAAATAAACTGAAGGAAAAACAGTGGACGAGATAATGACTACTTTTAATTCCAAACTTCCTTACTATGGTTAACATTGACTATATAATTCAGAATATGACAAATTAACATTTTAAGGTAGAGACCACACACAGCCTTTGTTAAAAAGGTAATTTTTTTTATCAAATTTCATTAACATGTTTTAAAAATCAAATAGCAACAAAGAGTTTAAAATACAGAACAACTCTCCCTTTACCAGCTTTTCCCAGACTCAGCCTACTACCCAGGAAAACCAATTCTAACTGCATGATCTAGACAAGGGGTGGGGAATCTTTTTTCTGGCCAGGTTCACTTGGATATTTATTAACATCATTTCAAGGGCCATACAAAATTATCAACTTAAAATTAGCCTTCTATATTTGGTCCAACCCCTAATGCCTCGGTAGGGCAGACCAAATTATTTCTCAGGCCTTATACAGCCCAAGGGCCAGATGTTCCCCACCCATACTAGACTATAAATTCTAGAGCAGTAATTTTCAACCTATATGCCACAAGAAGTTTTAAAAGATGCAATACTAGACTATTTAGTCAGGAGCACTGACCTTTTTCCTTAGATTGTCAAATTTAAAAAATGACAATAGTCAACACAATAGCCATCCCATGTGAATGGATGAAAATTATAGCTACATTTTGTCAGACTGGCAAGAAACGTTTTTTGTTGTTGGGTTTTTTGTGTTTTGTGTGGTTTTTTTTGGTGCGCCCCAGGATTGTAGAAATTAGTTTTTGTGTGCCATGAGATGAAAAAGGTAGAAAATCGCTGGTCTAGAGGAATACAATGCAGGCCACATATGTACAATAACTGCAAATTTTCTACTGGCCACATTAAAAAAAAAAAGTGAAATTACTTTCAATTACTTATTTAACCCAATATGTCTAAAATAGCATCATTTTCATAACTGTGAAAAATACTAATGGGATATTTATAGTTTGTAAGCTTCAAACTTCAATGTGTATTTCATATTCACAGCATGCCTCAAATGGAACCAGACATGTTACAAGTACTTGAAAGTGATCAGGGCTGCCAGAGACAGCAGGTTTTTATTTACCCATTTTAAATTCTACATATTCATTTCATGCTACTATCAATTCTTCCTTTCAATATAACCATAAACATATATTAATTTTAATTAATAATATAATTTTAATTAACATACACATTATTTCCTTCAAATGCAGATTCATATCTTGGACATTTTTTACTCTTATTGATCCTTTTCCCAATATATGTATGTTAGTTCATGTAATTTTAAGTAATATATGTATTTATCTTCCTTCTTCAACTACTGACATTTTATTTTGACTAGTAGCCCTGTGCAGGAATCCATATGCCAGTAGCTTTCTGCAGGGCCTGGCAGCTCCGCGCCCGCTGCCCAGAGGGTCCCTGTGGCCCAGAGGCCCATCCTCCCCTGGAAAATACAATACATACCACTTCCCTCCCCATTCTCAGGAACTCCGATAAAGGGCTTCCTTCCTCTTTCTCAGCTGCTTTCACCCCAGTGCCTCCACTACCAGCTGCTCATGTCACACTATTCTCCACTCCCAACCCCTCTGGCTACTTGGATTTGACTGTACCCAGGCGTCAGGGGCCACTCAATTCCGCTCAGCTTGCCGGTTCCTTCTCTTCTTACGCAAGGGTTCAGCACCCGGGCCTGGCCAGAGGCCCATGCGCGGCCCACTGAACCCTGGCCTGGTCAGAGGCTCAAGCTGCCGCACCACCCCTTCCCCCTCTCCCACCACTGCACTGGGGGACTCCAGTGGAGCTGAGAGATCTGGGCGATGCCATCTTTGTTATGGAGTGGTGGTTAATTTGCATATTATCCTTTTATTATATAGAATCCTTTCCATTCCCCACTTCATTATTTTATTTTTTAAGTAAATAAGTTGTTTGACACCATCAATCATATTTAATTAAATGTAAGCCTTGGAGACATGAAATATCAACAAACAAAATACATGCCAATGAGAGTCCCACTTCAAGAAAGACTATAGTATCTCACCTTTTCTTGAGCTCTACCCCACAGCCACCCATCTCCCAACTTTTGTTCTATCATTTGAGATTATATAAATGTGCACTTCTGAGATTTTGAGCTTAATGCCCTTGAGATCCACCAAAGTTGCTGCACGCACCAATAATTACTGCCTTTTTTTAGGGCTGGGTAGTATTCCATGTACAGATGTACTACAATTTAACCTTTCACCTACTGCAAAAAAATATGGTTCTTTCCAGATTTTTATTATTACAAGCAAAGCATTATTAACAATAATACACAGATTTTTGTGTGAACTCGTTTCCATTTGTTTTTGTTTTGTTTTGTTTTTTTAATGATCAAACTAGGATTGAATGGGATAATCCATGTGAAATGCCTAGCATATTTTTTTTATATATTTTATTGATTTTTTACAGAGAGAGAGAGGGATAGAGAGTTAGAAACATCGATGAGAGTTATCGATCAGCTGCCTCTTGCACACCTCCTACTGGGGATGTGCCCGCAACCGCGGTACATGCCCTTGCCCGGAATCAAACCCGGGACCTTTCAGTCCGCAGGCCAACGCTCTATCCACTGAGCCAAACCGGTCCCGGCTCCATTTGTTTTTAATAATGCCCAAATGTGAGATTGCTGGGGTATAGCGAAAATGCATATTTAGTTTTAAAAAAGCATTATTGAGCCCTGGCAAGTATAGTGTGGCTCAGTTGGTTAGCCATCACCCTGTGCACAGGTTATTAGTTCAATTCCCAGTCATACCCAGGTTGTGGGCTCAATCCCTGGTAGGGGGTATGCAGGAGGCAGTTGAATACTACCTACTCTCTCACATGGATGTTTCTCTATCTCACACTCTCTCTAAAATATCAATAAAAATAAAAAATAAAAACATTACTGAGATAAAATTCAGACACCACATAAATCATTCTCACAGCCAACTCTAGACAACCACTAAACTACTTTCTCTACATTTAAATTTTCTAATACCGGCCATTTAATACATATAGACCCATACAATTTGAAGCCTGATCTATTGTGACTGGCTTTTTAAGGCTCATCCACATCACAGTACTGCATTAACAATTTCTTCCTTTTTATTGAAAAATATAGCACATTTCGGTGTTCTGCTCTGGAGGCGGCGGCAGCGGCTGAGGCGGTGCAGGCAGCAGCGGAGGCAGCAGCGGCGGCGGGGGAGGGGGGGGGTCAGGTGCAGCCGCTGCTCAAAGAAAATGAACCGCACCCTGGCCCACCCAGACCAACCGTATCTTGATGCTATCAAGATGTTTGTGGGCCAGGTTCCGAGGACCTGGTCTGAGAAGGACTTGAGGGAACTCTTTGAACAGTATGGTGCTATCTATGAAATCTAAGAGATAGGAGCCAAAACGCTCCTCAGAGCAAAGGTGAAGATTTGGGTTTTATGTGCAATTTTTTGTCATGTACATACTGTCTCCTTGTAAGAATGATCCTATGGTCATATTGGGAGAGGGGGTTCTTTTATAGTCCTCATATATTCCAGGCCAAACTCATGTAATGACTTAAAAATAAAAAATGAAAGTGGAAAAAAAAGAAAGAAAAAAAAAAAGAAGAAAAATATAGCACATTTTACTTATCCACTCATCAGCTGATGGACAGCTGGTTATTTCCATTTTTAGGTCATTATGAATAATGCTACTATAAACATTAACGTGTAAGTTTTTACGTGCATTTATGTTTTCTTTTCTCTTGCATACATACCTAGGAATGGAATTGCTGGGTCATAAGGCCACTCTATGTTTTACAATGTTGTTTTTACAAACCATCAAGTTACTTTCCAAGATGGAAAATATTCCTATCAGCAATGTATGAGATTCTGTCTTCCACATCCTCATCAGCATTTGGTTATCTCACTATTTTTAATTTTAGCTGTTCTGATAGTTGTGCAATATCTTGTCATGGTCTTAATTTGCATTTCCCTGGTGGTTGGTGATAGTGAACATCTTTATGTGCGCTTATTTTTGGCATCCATATATCATCTTCAATAAAATGCCTCTTCATTTCTTTTGCCCATTTTCTAATATGTTTGTTTGGATCTTTACTGTTAAGAATTTAGAACTGTTTATATTTTCTCCATATAAATTATGTGTCAAATACATGGACTGCAAATAGTTTCTCCAAGTCTGTAACTTGTCTTTTCATTCTAACATGATTTTTCACAAAGCAAAATGTTTTAATTTGATGAAATCCAACTGACCAATTATTTTTCTATAAATCATACTTTGAATCTAAGAACTTTTCACCAACCCTAAATCCCAAAAATTTTCTCATTTTTGTTTTTTTAAAATACACAGCCTGCACCCTCTCCAATCTGGGATCCTTCAAGGGATGTCCAACTGCCCGTTTAGACCCGATCCCACATCCAATTGCCCGTTTAATGGGCAGTTGGACATCCCTCTCACAATCTAGGACTGCTGGCTTCCATTCGCCTGCCTGATTGCCCCTAACCACTTCTGCCTGCCAGCCTGATCACCCCTTAACTACTCCCCTGCATGCTTGATTGACGCCTAACTGCCCTCTCCTGCTGGCCTGGTCATCACTAACTGCCCTCCCTTGCAAGCCTGGTCCCAACTGCCCTCCCCTGCAGGCCTGGTCACCCCCCAACTGCCCTCCCCTGCAGGCCGAGTCCCCCCAACTGCCCTCCCCTCCAGGCCTAGTCCCCCCAATTGCCCTCCCCTGCAGGCCTGGTCACCTCCAACTGCCCTCCCCTGCTGGCCTGATTGCCCACAACTGCCCTCCCCTGCCAGCCATCTTGTAGCAGTCATCTTGTGTCCACTTGGGGGTGGCCATCTTGTGTGTTGGAGTGATGATCAATTTGCTTATTACTTTTATTAGATAAGATTCTTAATTTCAGAGAGGAAGGGAGGAGAGAGAAACATCAGTGATGAGAATCACACTGATC